AAAAAAAAAAACGAAAGCAAATAAATAAGGTGTTTTTTTTTTCTCTCTGCACCAAATCAATTCACCACCAACAATTCATCCACTAAACTTCATCCAATCAATTCAACACCAAATCTATTAATGGGGACTCGAATTTCAGAAGGGCTAAAACCGATAAAACTGAAAAGGAAAAGGAGCACACATTTAGTAGCATTGAATTGGTAATGCAGAGTACCTGAAAAATACATCATGGGTTTTGCGGACAAATCAAAGTTCGGCCGGATCAAGGACTCTATGATTTCAGATTTTGTTCTTCACTGATGGTCTAATATTTCGATGCGTTGTATTCTAGCAAAGTATAGAGCGGTTTTGGAGAGAGATATGAACGAGGGGGTTGAATTTAATTTGCATTTAATTTGGTTGAAAAATAAGGTAATAACGATTATAGATAAAATCCAAAATACTTTTGGATTGTTTAAGTAATTTTATAAATAAGAATATAAGAAGTATGAAAGTGTAATATAAATCACACATAATGGTAAGGGGTGCAAATTCCTCTTTGATTTTTTATGCAAAAATAATTAAGAAAAAACTATCCATGTCGAATCGGGCATGCTCGCAGCCAGCCATCTCAGCGGGCATGTGGCATTCCGGCTCAACCCCGCCGCAGGCCTTGGGCTAGGCGGGCCGGCCCGCCGCATTTAAAAAAAAATAAAAATAAAAAACTTGAGAACAGGGCAAGCAACAATAACTGGGACTAGGAGTCTCAACTCCCAAAAAATCCAAAAAACTCCTGGGAAGCCCGCGACATCTAAAAAATGATAATAATAATAAAAAAAAAAAAACGGGAACAAGAAGACTCAAGAGGTTAGTGTTTCCTCGGCCGTCTCTCTCACTCTCTATTCCAGTGTTTTGGGCTAATGAAAAAAATGAAAAGATCAAAAGAAGTACGAAACATGTTACTTGTTAGAGCATCACAATGTTTTGGGTTCAATCACAAAAAATTATATGCCACCTAAAAATAGACTCGGTCTAAAAAATATATTATCCAATTCAAATAAAAGTAGACTGGGTCCTGCTAATGTGGCAGTCAGAAAAAGAAACTCATTCTACCCTTAAGTCCATTTTAGACTCAAGTAGAGACCAAGTCTCTTTGCATTGGTCTGGATTTTGTTAATTTTACATAGTTTCATCCATGTCATCCAAAACGTGAATTTATTTACATGCCACATTGTCAAGACTAGATCCAATGCATTGTAAATGCTCTTACGACTTACCTACCTGTAATGTAAAAACTAAAATTAAAGTCATTTTTTTTAATGGTGGGCTAGCCCCCGGCTCGCGTGGCCCGGCCCGCCAAAACCCGCGGCTCGCACGGGCCAGCCTGTTTAAACCCGCTCTTTGGAGGGTCCATAAAACCTCAGCTCAACCTGCCTATTAGGAGGGCGGGCGAGACAGGCTTGTTTTGACATGTCTAGATAAAGCTCGCTTCCGAGCACAAATCTTTGTGTCAACTGAAGACCGTTAGTACTGGTTTACACTTTTGTTATGTACTGGATATGTTTGTCCCGTTTTTGTTACTATTTTTATTGTTATTTTGTGTGTCGTTTCCCCTGTCTTAGGCCTTTTCTTAGGTATTACCGGTCCCTTTTTGTCATTTCTTGCTTCTATCTTCGTTTTGGCTTGCTTAGTATTTTCCTTGTTTTCTTTCCTTTTCTCTCTTTGTTTTTCGTGCTTTTCCGGTTGTGGTGATCCCAGGTTTTAGGTTGCTCGGATTGGGGAGCATTCAGTCGAGAGGAGAGCGTGTTGATCGAGCATCAATTTGTGGGCTCAAACTTACGAGAATCGAGTTTTAAGCTCGGTCAGTACCCAAGAGACGCTAGCCGAGCATACAAGCCCGTGATGTGAAGTTTATGATGCTGTCCAGACCTTAGCGCCGCTAAGGCTTCTTAGCGCCGCTAAGGTCAGTTGGTTAGCGGCATTTTATATCTTAACGGGGCCAGAGAGGAGCAACTAACGAGGCTTAGCGGCGCTATGGAACCTTAGCGCCGCTAAGGTGGGTTAGCGGCGCTAAGGTAGGTTAGCGCCGCTAAGATCTGATTTGTAACAGCAGCGGGATTTTCGTGATTTGAAATTGGGGACAGATTAAGGTCGATCTGAGGGCCTCGGGGACATTATTCAGACCTCGTTTTTGACAGCTTTTCATCAAAAACACATTTTTCTTTTACCCTTTCATCTTGGATTTGATTTTGGGATTGAAGAACTCGTTTCTAGCTTTGGATTTTGGATTGTTCGTTGCTTTCTCTTGACATTGGATTTGTTATTAATCGTAAGCATCTCTTTTCATTTTGTTTATGAATATGATGGTTGGTTTCATTATGGATGTTGGTGTTGAGATTGCAATGAGTGGCTAATTCCAATAGCTAGGGCTAGGGGATAATCGTTCCGGTTCGATTTTGTTTATGTGTTTGATTCATTGCTCAATCTTTTTGAGTTATGCTTAACCTAGGGTTTAGATGTTTGATCACCATCTTAATCTAATTAATCGATTTTAAAACCGAAAGGGGAGAAATCGTTCGACCTAGGCTCGTTAAGAATAGACTTGTTCGGTAACGTATTGTCTATATGCTAATTGATTCGTCATTGATTTGTTTACGTTTATTCTCTTGTTTTGTGAGATATTGAGAATGAACCTCTAGATGAGTTAGTTCTTGAGTCCTTTAGTTGAGTAATTGATTGTTCGTAAATTGTTTTGAGAACCGGAAGCGATATCCCCGATACCCTAGCCCCTTTATCATTATTTGAGTTTAAACTTTAAATTGCAAGTTTGAAATTGCTAGCTTGTTCTTATTATTCGTAGTTGATAATCAAAAACTCCAAATTTGAATTAGAGTGTTTAGGACTTGTTTCTTATTTCGTGTGTTGAATAACCGTGCAAAATAATCCGGCTAACCTTCCTTGTGATACGACCCGGTGTCGAATCTTTCGATTCTACTCCGGTAAAAAATATTTACAACAAATTGGCGCCGTTGCTGGGGAAGGTTTAGGACTTATTTTGTGCGCCTATTCATTTTGTTTCAGTGTTTCTCTTGTTTTCTGTGAATTCTTATTTTCGCGTTTCTTTTGTTTTGTTCCCTTTGTCTAGTTTTATTGTTTTCTTTGCTTTGATTTCTCCTTATTGCATTTTGTTGTCTATCTGGTGCCCGTGACGTTTTTTTTGTTTGTGTTTATGCGTACCAGGAGTGGTCGTGTAATCATCCCAAACGACGAATCCATCCAACAGGACCTACAAGACTTACTAGCCAGTCTTGCACCAGTATCATCTACATCAGAAGACCAAACCTACATGGCACAGAATGAGCAAGATGAGGAGGTCAACAATCCTCCTAAGTCTCTTCTTCGAGATTTGGCTCAACCAGTAATTGGGCCAGTGACTTCATGCATCCGACTGGGGACAGCAGCTCGGGACTACGAGCTCAAAACCATCCATTACAACCAACTCCCATCCTTCCATGGTCTTCCCAATGAGGATCCACTTTATTTCATGTGTGAATTCTACAATGTCCTCCAAACATTTCCACTCCACGGACTAAATGAGGACCAGTTGAAAATGAGGTGTTTTCCAGAAACACTCAAAGATCG